TACATTTGAGAGGTTTCAAGACAGTTGGCTAATCTCTAGTCAGCCAATGTATAAAAGAGCTTAAAAAACAAAGTCCAAAGACCTGTGTTCAAATTTAAGCTCTACTACACAGTGAGTACATGGCCTCGTACTATTTAACCCCTTACATCAGTTCCCTCATATGTAAGATATGAGCTAATGATAATTGTTGTTTTCTAGTGTGCTGTTAGGTTTGAATAGTGCTGACATAATATTAAGAGGTTTCACTGTTATGAATTATTTCATTTGATTGATTTAGTATTATCACTTTAGGTAGGCAGTGTTTTATTCTGGAGTGAAAAGTTCTTAACATCACATCAGTAGGAGGGATACAAATCCCTCCGCTATTTCCTTGCTGTCGGACACTGGTCAAAATACTTCATCTTCCTGAGGCTCAGTTTGTTTGTTTGTTAAGTGGAGACAGTTCCTAATTCATTTGGTTATAGTGATGATTAAAAAAGATCAAATGTGTAAGGCATCTCACAGTACATGCCAGTTAAAGAATTTTTTTTTCTCTTTTTCCTACTGGTTTATTATAATGATTTAGCTGCTCAATTGTTGATTTATTCCCTCATTTCAGCACAAAATAGAAATATCTATTGCATTAATCAATATTCACATTAGCAAACAGCACTGAAGCCATTTGAAAGTAACCTCAGAACTTCAAACAATCTGCTTTGAAGATCATCGATATTTTTATTACTTTTAAGACAATTAATTAAAAGCAATTGTCAGACTTTTTATCAGAAAATTACATCGAAGTGACTTCTCTGCCTTTTGTTTAACTGACTGTGTAACACTAACACTTGGATTTAAAAAAACAAAAACCCTACTTCAAATGCAAATTTAATAAAGAAGTTAAGAATTTAAGTATTTTAAGATTACCTGCTTCAAAATGCCTGCTGCCATTTCATGGCTACAGTCAAAGATGACATGGAACTCCTTGCCTCTTTTCATTTCTTTTAGTAAGGGTTTTGCATCTTTCGTATCAGCAGGTAGTTGACGGATCTTAAGCCGAAGATTGTATCTTGATGGAGCTTTGATGAGCTCCTGCAAACGAATGAGACCTTTAATGAAAAAGAAAAAAACATAATATTAGAGGAAAGACAGAGTGGGTCACAGACTCACAAAACATACTACAATGCCTGATTTTCTTGACCACATACATATGCATCTCATGATGTGACCATTGAAATTCCTACTTCAAAACTCCTGATCCTATTAATTTTGTAAAAATTCACTACTCGAATTCTTAAGGAATTTTTCAAAGTATGAAAGATACACATGACTTTACGTTAATGTAAATAATTTAAATACATAAAAGGATATGGAGGGAAGCAGTCTCCCTCTGTACCCAAATTCTGCTCCCAGTGGCTTGTCCCTGTTAATTGCTTGAAATATTATTCCTCCATATACTTCCCATGCATTTGCACATACATACATACATACAGGGTGTTTTGTATTTTACATCAACATTTGTTTTGTGACAATGTCTTATAGGTCATTGTAAGTCAATGATTACCTTTCTAGTTTGTCCAATTAATTAAACACTGTGTTTTTTAGTGGATGTAAGTTATGTAATTATTCTCTAGTATTACCAACTTTGCTTACTTCTTTTTTGTTTTTGTTTACAAGTAATGGTCTAGTAATTTGGAGTATATGTAAGAGTGAAATAACTTTTCTTAGTAAAATAGACTCTAAATAGCAGAAACCATAATTACATTACTTTAAGAAATAAAACTTTCCTTTGTATTGTTTTCTCTTGTATCATTTTATATTTCTTAAGAAATAAATACAACCATAGAAATTGTTAATAAAGCAAACATTTTCCTGGAAAAGTAGATCCTGATTGTATGTTTCAAAAACATACTAAATTAATAGATACATTTCCAATAGGTCATAGAACTGTTGTGCATTTTTAAGTAACAGAGATAAATCATTGAATTTATTCCTTCACACAAACTTTAAGTAATGAAGCCCCTTTAAAAACTGATGAAAAGACCAAATATGTAAGAATGTGAGAAGAAAAGAAGGATCATACAATTCTATTAGCTTGGACCAAACTAAGCAATTTCCTTTCCCCTCTTCCTTTTCCTTACTTACCCCTTTTCCACCTCATCTCTATATTGCTATAACTCCATTTCTACCTTCTCTGAAAAACTACCTCCCTTAGTATTAGTATGACAAACAATAACAAAGGAAAATATCTGTAAATAACTAATCTGAAACACTTTCTCTCTCTATATATATATACTTTCTTTTTATTATATATATTATTTTACTTGGAAACAGGAATTAAAAATGTCATACTATGACTAAAAATCTACTGTATATTAAAATAACACATGATATCTAAAGAATAAAATCTAATTGTAGGAATTTTTTATTCAGTTTTTAAATAATTAATTAATGAATATAGTGCTATATATACTTTGATGTGTTGCAATATATTTAATACAATTAACATGACTAATTTTCAGTACCTTCATCCTTGAGACATACAATTTTAAAAATATGTAAATTCATAAATATACCTAGTATCTTTTGCTTTTAAAATACTGTCTCATAAAATTTACTTCATTGTAAGTTATTTTAGAATTTCGCTGTTTAAAATTCTACAAGTAATATTTGCATAACTTACATAGTATAATAGTATTATCTCATTTTGTTTTACAAATTTGAATATTTACTAACTATAGTAAAATAAATATTACATAATTAATTGATAGCAAATATACCCATTAAACATAATACAATTCAGTCTAGGGAATTATGTATGTAATGAGTACAGATGTTAATACTGAGCTGTGCAAAGGTGAAAACAAATATTTGAATTTATAACATCTGCTTAATTGTAATAGAGTTTAACATTGGGCTTATAAAATCCTCTAAAATAGGTATAAAAGGCTATACATTACTTTGCACATGGGAGTACTCTGCAACTCAATTAGAATAAAATTTTAAAGGGTAGCAATATTGTTTAACTATTTTTATAAATAAACCAGAGTATAATTGCTGCAAGGAAGTGGCTCCCAAACTCTGGAAGGTTATGACAGTAATCTGTGAAGCTGGTTACAACCTAAACAACCAAATCAGAACCTTCAGGGGATAGGACTCATGCATGTGTATTTTTAACAATCTTCCCAGGTGACTTTCTTGGTCCTCAAAGAGTATGGCCAATTTCCAAAGATAGGTTTGGTTTCAAGTAAGGGTCATAGAGCTACTCCTTGAACCACTTTGGCATAGCAATGTTACAGGATAATAACTATTTATATTAATTAGTAGCATAAGCCAATAAAATAATTAATTCAAAGAATGATTTCCAACTTCGTTAGGAAGAGTGAATTAAAAAACTGTAAATACAACTGTCCATAGGAATAAGAGAGAAAAAAAAAAGACATCATTCATTTACTCGTGCAGAAAACAAATGTGTATTGAATTTTTACTATAGATCCAATGTTGTTCTAGACATTGGGGATACCATAAAATATAAATAGACAAATTTCTTGCCCACACCGTACTAAAAATACACAGGGGGACAAAGGTTATTAAGCAAGCAATTATAAATGAAAACTGGCAAACACTGTTTTTGTGGGGAAAATATGGATTGTTGAGGAAACATGCAGCACTTAACTCAGAATGGGAGTGTTTAGGGACATTATCCCAAAGGAGGTGACATCTAAATTAATACTTAAATAAAAAGAGAAAGAGTGGAAGGAATGGACTGAAATAAAAACAGCTTCTATACTGACATGGAGGTGACAGAGAATGGGCAGTGAATCTTAAGGAGCAAGGAAGAAGTGCTGACAAGTGTAATTTGAGAAGAGGGCAGGGGACCACTTAGGATGCCCTTGTAAATTAATTTAGAGTTGAGGCCTTAACTTGAGGGTGCTGGAATGTGCCCTCCTGGAATCTACATTTCACAAGAATCACTCAGATTTTTTCTACAGAAGACAGATCAGAAGAGCTAAAATGGGAGGAAGGAAGAGTTGGAAGACAGTTTTAATAATGCAGGTTATGAAAGGATAAGATGTGTATTGAGGTCCAGAGTAGGGAGCGAAAGAACGGGATGAACTGGAGAGATTTTTGAGAAAGGACTGACAGTGAAGACAGTTACTTCCTTGATGAAGGGGAGGGCTGAGTCAGGGAAGTCTCTCAGATTTCTGGCTTGGGCATCTCGGAGGAGAGAGTGCTTGCACAGTGTGAGGCCATGGAAGGATCAAGTCAATTGAGGGTGCAAAATGAGGGGAGTGATCAGCTATGTCCAGAGTTACTAGTAAACAAGAAAAGATGAGTAAACATTTTAAGAAAGTGCCTATTAAATTTAACTACAAGATCATTGCTGACCCAGGCAAAGACAGTTTCAATAGGATGGTGGGGGTAGTAGCTTGCTGTGGCTTTAGTAGAAGTGGGAGGGAGGTAGAAAATGGACTCCACGAAGATCATCTTCATGTATTTCCACAGTGGAGCTTAATACGCATCTTAATCATACCTAGCACCCGTGGAGGAAAGTACCAGTCCCTCCCCAACCTATTACCAGACTTAAGCTCAGTAGCAGATCCACAGGGCACTTTAGTTTCCACATCTATTTAATGAGACTTATCCAGATCAGCAGTTCTCAAAGTGTAGTCCCCAGACCCCTTTACCCTCTCTGTTGGGTCCCTGAGGCCAAATTATTTTTGTAATAATAATAGTAAGAGGTTATTTGGCTTTTTAAATTTTCATCCTCCCACATGTGTACAGTGGAGTGTTCTAAAAGTTACAAGACTTTGATGATATTACAGCAGATTGAAAAAGGAAGCAGATATGCAAATCCAGCTACATTCTATTAAACCAAATATTAAAGAGATATGTGAATATAAAACAATGCCACTCTTTTACCTTTACTATTTTTTTGTTTAGAAAAATATAGGTATTTTTCCTTAAAATATGCTATTTATGTGACTAGATGATGGGTTTATTACTGCAATTATTAAATGAATTAATATTTTAAATATTGTAATTTTATTACTAATTTGGTAAATATTGATAAGTATAACATACTACAAATGTTTTTAGAAATCTTCAATCATTATTAAGAATGTAAACTGGTACTAAAACAAAAATGTCTAAGAATTACTAAATTGGATTACCTCTATTTTTTCTGAGCTCTAAATTTTTTATTATTCTCATAAAATTATTTATATAAATGCAGACTGATCTAATACCAACCTTAGATAAATAAAGAAAAGAAAGCAAGCTACACTTGGTTTATGAAACTGATGAGATTTTGAGCAAGTCAAATATAAGTCTGAGAGATTTAGTCTATCATAGTAGCAATAGCCTGGGTGTTGAGTGTGAATCTCAGTTCAAAAATCTATGATGTATTTATAT